TTTCAAGTCGAACTGGCAGAAAGTGATCACTCAAGCCTCTAATGGCGAGGGTTAATGAGTGGGCTGGTGCACTTTAAGCCCTGTCCCAGCATCCTCCTCTCCCTCCCCTGCAGTTGCCATTGTGGGAAATTTTTTTTATGACAAGCCTCTGTCCAGACACACTGCCCCTCCCTCGCCACCACTGACATTGCACAAAGATCTCCCCAGGCAAGATGTAATCGAATCGAATTCATCTTGCAGTTTGAAACTGTCAAACACTTTCTGCTGCACTATTGAATTATCAGAAAGGAAACTCTCCTCCTAACAAAATTAGAAGTATTAGTGTTAACTGCAATCAGCACACTGTTCAACATGAACCATTAAATGCTGACCATGTAACGTGATCTCTGAGGTCTCAAGTATACTTGTGACTGGCTTCAGATTCACTTATGTACTGATGGCTGCTAGATTGCGATGTTTTCCCATCTGATGTCTCCCAAGTGAACAAAAAAAAGTGTCTTGGACAAGCTTTCAGCAAATAACCTCAAACACCAAACGACTTGAAAACTGTTTGGTGCGAGGTAAGTAATAAGGCTAACAACATGTGCTGGACTGGACTCCATTACACAGACTGGGGAAAAGGCCGGTCAAAGAGCAAACACATTTTCCACAGCAGATTATGTCGCGATTGGCTCCAGACTCAAACCTTTATCAGTGAAATCCATATTTGCAGGATTCACAAAAGGGTTTTTAATACACTGGTGAGTTGGTAGCTTTCATTGATTATCAGTGTTTTACATTTTTTACAGCCTATTAGCTAAGAGTTGACAGGTTTTCTTTGCACATCTGAGGAAAATATGCAGAGCTCTGTCGTGTTCACAAGCTAACACTTACCTTCTGTATGTTTGGAATGTCAGTTTTCTAAGCCCTTTCGTTAAAAGAAAAAAACACCTGCTCTAACCAAAACAGTACACAAAAAATTTAAATATTAATAAATTATTGGACAGAAAAATAAGAAAACAATCTGTATAAATGCAGAAAACGTCATGGAGTGGATGGAATCAGCAAAATACAGCAGGTAAAATAAGTATTGAACACGTCACCATTTTTCTCAGTAAATATATTACTAGAGGTGCTAATGACATGAAATTTTCACCAGATGTCGGTAACAACCCAAGTGATCCATACATACAAAGAAATCAAACCATAAATGTCCAGAAATGAAGTTATTTGTAATAATGTGGAATGGCACAGGGAAAAAGTATTGAACGCACGAAGAAAGGGAGGTGTAAAAAGGCATGGAAAGCCAAGACACCAGCTGAACTCTCTCAGTAATTAGAAAGCAAGCCTGCCCCTTGTCAGTGCAAGTTAATATCAGCTGGTTCGGACCCAGATGATGGCCAGGTACCACACAAGAAACATCTGATGATGGGTAAAAGTAAAGAGCTCTCTCAAGACCTTCGCAACCTTATTGTTGCAAAGCATAATGATGGCATCGGTTACAGAAGAATGTCTAAACTTCTGAAGGTTCCAGTGAGCACTGTTGGGGCCATAATTCAGAAGTGGAAAGAACATTATTTCACCATAAACCGACCACGACCAGGTGATCCTCACAAGATTTCTGACAGAGGAGTGAAAAGAATTATCAGAAGAGTTGTCCAAGAGCCAAGGACCACTTGTGGAGAGCTTCAGAAAGACCTGGAATTAGCAGGTACGTTTGTTTCAAAGAAAACAATAAGTAATGCACTGAACCACCATGGCCTGTATGCACGCTCACCACACAAGACTCCACTGCTGAAGAAACAGCATGTTGAAGCTCGTTTAAAGTTTGCTGCACAACATTTAAACAAGCCTGTGTAATACTGGGAGAATATAGTCTGGTCAGATGAGARCAACATTGAACTGTTTGGATGCCAGAATACACATCATGTTTGGAGGTCAAATGGCACTGCACATCAGCCCAAAAACACCATACCAACAGTGAAGTTTGGAGGTGGGAACATCATGGTGTGGGGCTGTTTTTCAGCATATGGTAGTGGCAAACTTCAAATAATTGAAGGAAGGATGAATGGAAAAATGTACAGAGACATTCTTGATAAAAAATCTGCTTCCATCTACCAGGATGATGAAGATAAAATGTGGCTGGACATTTCAGCAAAACAATGACCCCAAACACAAAGCCAAGGAAACTCTCAGTTGGTTTCAGAGAAAGAAACTAAAGCTGCTGGAATGGCCCAGCCAARCACCTGACCTGAATCCAACAAAAAATCTATGGAAATGGTAAATGGTAAATGGTACTGAACTTATAGAGCGCTTTTCAAGTCCCTCCACTAAAGAACTAAAGATCAGAGTTCATAGAAGAGGCCCAGGAAACCTTCAAGATTTGAAGACTGTTTGTGTGGAAGAATGGGCCAAAATCACACCTGAGCAATGCATGCCACAAGTTTCTCCATACAGGAGGCGTCTTGAAGCTGTCATTGACAACAAAGGCTTTTGTACAAAGTATTAGATAAATTTCAGTAAGTGTGTTCAATACTTTTTCCCTGTGCCATTCCACATTATTACAAATAACTTCATTTCTGGACATTTATGGTTTGATTTCTTTGTATGTATGGATCACTTGGGTTGTTACCGACATCTGGCACCTCTAGTAATATATTTACTGAGAAAAATGGTGACGTGTTCAATACTTATTTTACCCGCTGTATTTGCAATTCTTGTGTGATCAACTTGCAAAGATTAAAGTATTTATTAAGCACATATGCAAAAATGACTGGTGTTAAACCAAACCTGCTATTGATGATCTTAATGAAATATATTTGCACAAATCTAAAAAAAGGGAACAGCACAGGTGTTTTACAACAACCAGGTATGAGAGCCCTTTAGGCCATATTTCATTTTTCCTCTAATTATATACCCAAATCATCTGCGTTAGAATAAACTCCTCTCTCACCTAAATGTACCCCACTGTGACAGGAAAACAAATGAATCTTTATACAGAATAAACTGGAAATCTGAGTGCTCTAAAAGCCTAAAAACAGAAATGCAACATGAACAACAAACTCATGTATTTGACAGTTTATTCTTTTCACTAATGTGAGTTATTGTTCTTTTAATTTAAAGTGAACAACCTCAAAATTCATTTCTTTTTGTTACTCTGCCCAAGATGTTGTCTTCGGCGAACTGCTCTTATCCTGTGCATTTTTGCAGAGCTCAACAAATTGTTGAGTAAAAGTCATAATTTATTCATACTGGTTGAGGAGGGCAAGTACACGTTTGTAAGTGCTTGAACTAAAACCTTTGGAATGGCATGTTTACATCCCTGAAGTCTCATCATCAAGGTAAACATTTAGTTCAAACAAACTCACCATGAGACCTTTTAGCTTTTGTTTACTGCATTTCCTCTTTACAAAATGTGTTGACTACTTTAATTACACATGTATGCACGTAAATTGGGAGAAAGCCAATGAATGGAGAATAATTAGTAACATTAATTAGTAGTTAGGGGATAGGAACTGAAGTCCAGTACTAACTGGTAGACATTACATCGTTCATTGATTCCACTCAATTTGAAGGACATCAAGATAACAGTGCTGTGCAAGAATTTAAAGTTATCCTTCATTTATTTATATTCCTTCCCAATGAGCCAGATTTTCATGTATGTATATGAACAGTTGGATGTTATCACGTTCACCTCCCTTATAGCTAAACGCCATTTGCTTTATTTTTTTATTTTATTTTATTTTTTTGGAAGTCGAATCAAGCCCCACCAAACACTGGACTGATAAAATTATGTCACTCCTACGACTTTCCAAAATAATCAATAAAAATGGCAAGTTTTGTTTTTATTTTTCTGTATCAGACTGCAGCTAGTCCATCACCTTTCACTGTCCCAAACCATCCTTTCATTTTTTCCTTTGTCTTTTTTTTTTTTTTTGTTAATTATACTGCCCCCATTAAAATTTGTACTGCAGGGTCATGGATTGTTGAGTTTGTTTTATCCATATATCTTGTCTTTTTGGAAAATATGCTAACCTTTACCAATTATGCGCAGGTTTTTGTCCCGATTTTGACGATCAAGTCTTAGTGATTAGACTCTGTTCAGATTTTCTTTATTATATCTATTTTAAATAACATTGTTGTTTTGTTTGTATTATTGTGAGTGTGTGTGGGGTTAAAAATAGAAAATATTTAAAAAAAACTTAATGAACCATGTACAAATCTGTGTCTGCTACACGATATTTTCATGTCTTCAACCTCTTACTACTAAAAACATAACGCAGAAAAATAAATCTAAATGACTGCAAACAAAGTAGGAAAGAGTTCAACCGATCTGATCAACTTAAGGCTTAAATCAATAAAAAATAAATGTAATAAATTCACCAAAATTTGGATTTTGGACTTAAAACACAGGTTCTGGATAACACAACACATTTCAACAGCTCAAAAAAGAAGCAGAAACCAGGATTGGTTATTTAAAGAAAGTAAATAATTTTATTTTATAATCTAACTTACAATGAATGAAAGGTTTGTGCTACAGTTAGGAAAACACAGTGCAAAAGACACGAAATTAATCACCACAAACAGTGTCTCACCAATAGTTTCAAATTCTGAATAAATTATGCACTTTTAAATAGTTTTTAACATGATTGTTTTAAACAATAATATGTATTTTTTTACCATAAACTTGAACCCACAGTGTTTCACTAAAATCAGGAAGCTGTTTCTTTAATGATCACCTAGAGGAACTGCAGACACACACTGACTGAACAATTCATTTTCACAAAGTGCAAAACATTTACTGCAAGCTGATAAACTACAGTGAGGCCACAAAATGTGGTTCAGTCAAAACTGGGTTTAAAGTAAATATCAAATATTCAAATATTCTGAACTATGTTATAAACAGTTATCTTAATTTATGTATGTATGTATGTATGTATGTATGTATGTATGTATGTATGTATGTATGTATGTATGTATGTATGTATGTANGTATGTATGTATGTATGTATGTATGTATGTATGTATGTATGTATGTATGTATGTATGTATGTATGTTTGTTTGTTTGTTTGTTTGTTTGTTTGTTTGTTTTGGTGGGGGGTGGTAGGTAATGGTAGGTGGAGAAGACTCAGGACCAAAGTGATATGCAGACATCTAAATTATAATTGACAGCAGCAACAACTGGCTGTAGCACTTCCCATTCTATCTAGGGGACAATTTCAACAGGAATCTCATGGTATTCATTCTCAAAGGATCCAATATAATGCAAAACAGATGGCGGTGTAGATGTTTACAAAAATATTATTTGCAAAAGTGACCACTGAAATTTTGGAGGTGGTTATAGGTTGGCAAATTTGGCCTTGGCTTCGATCGGAGAACTCATTTAACTGCTGAGAGTTGAAACGTTTCTCAAAACTGAGATGATTTTAAAAAATGGAACGGGTAAAATGTAAATTGTTCATAAACCTTTTTGTCTTTTCACACAACCCAGTTTTGAACAGTTTAATGAACCCATCTGCAAACCATATCTGATCAGCTGAAGACACAGAAGCAGCACGTAAAGCTTGCAGAGACATCAGTGCACCATTGAAAGGACAATTACATCATTAAACAGCAGCTTAGACAATGTGTTTAGAAATTGCAGATTTAAAATCAAATACCTAGCACCAGCATCCTTATTTTCACATTTTGCTTTTGCAGAATACTAACGCTACTGATTTTTACCCACAAGTACCAATCTACAACATTAATATGAAAACAATCAGTGTTTGTTAAATAGGACAATTGGCTGCAAACAAAAACACGCCTGATGTTTAAGTAAATCAAAGCAAATCCAGCCTCACTGCATTTTAAATCTGCACACTCCACAAACATTTGTCTAAACGTTGGTTCTCATTTAAGCGTCGACATGAGCAGACTCTCTTCCAAACTTGTGGTCAGTGTGGCTGCTCCTGCAGAAGCTCGAAGGCAAGCTGTGTGATGTGCCGCCACGCGTGTTGGATGTGACGGGACTCGGTGCTGCGCGAGCAGATGGCCAGGCGCAGGACGAAGCGGCTGGACAGCTGGCAGGGCACCAGGTGGATCTCTCTGCTCTTTGTGATCTTTTTCAGCAAGCTCTGGTTGAGCTCATTGGAGCCCTGAGAGGAGGTAGGAAGATGATCATCAAGTAACCTTGTAAACAACTTGTGAAAATTCAATTATGTTATAAAGTATTCACATAGATACAGAACCACTCCGGTGGCAGAAGATTTTAAAAAAAGATGAACGCCACGAGAAAATAACTCATGGCCACAAGAATATTTTGAGCAAATTTGTACCCAGTGTTGTATAAAGTACCACAAAGTGATACTTGAGTAAAAGTATCTTACCAAATAATTAAAAGTGAAAGTATTGATTTAAAATGAGCAGTTCGATTTTCTGTAAGGACATTTATTAGGAGGTGACCTCCTCCCAAAAAATGCAGAACTGACTATATAGTATTAAAATAATGTTTAGTTTATGTTAACTTTTGGTGGGCCAGTTTTGGCAATATATATATATA